TTTGTGTGGAGTCCACTTTGTCTCCTTCTTCACAGGTAATGCCCCCGAAATACCCCTTTGGGGCAGCCCCCTGTGGAATAGTTAGCCCTCAAGGGAAGGCAGGGGCAGATCATGGGCATTCCCCGCCATCCAAGGAGGTTTCCATGTTTGCAGAGCCGGGACACATGGCGCTCTGGTTCTGGGCTCACCCAAGGAATCGTCACGTTCTGCACATGCCTGCTTGACCTCACAACCGTATCAGGCTTCCCGCTCGACAAGAGCTGCGCCCTCTGGAAGTCAGCGGGGAGCAGCCCGTGGTTTTTGGACTTTTGTGACCACACGAATAGGTACATTCTTTTCCCTTCGCACGTTAGATTTCTTTGACGAGCCGTTAGCCCGACAGAATTTTACATTCTGCGTCAGGCATAGCGTTATCAGTTTGGTCCCAACACTTGGGCGAGTGGGGTCTTTGGTCTTTTTCCGTTCAGTACAAATTGTGGAGGTCAGATTTTGAGCTCACTCGTGTGCCGTAGGATCTAGTTTTGTCGGACATTTAGGCTTAGCCAGCCAATGGGCTGTTGCTGTTGTGGTGTACCTCAGCGCGGTGACGACGACACTGTGGGTTACACGAGGATGTACATGGCTGGCCCGCCTATGTATGGTTGCTGTTTTAGTTTACCTCAGCGCGGTGACGACGACACTAAGGGTTAACCAAGGATGTACATGGACGGTCATTCTCTGGATGGTTGCTGTTGTGGTGTACCTCAGCGCGGTGACGACGACACGGAGGGTTAACAGAGGATGTACAGTGAACAATGTTCTCTTCACTCCGCATTCTTTTAACCAAGGGTTGTGATTTTTAGCTGTACGTTTGGCAAGCATACTCGTGTTCCTAATGAGTTTTGATAACCTTTTTCACCCAAGCGTTTGGGGGCGGGCTGATGAGAGCCACAAGGACACATCACCTCTGGGGGCCCCCAAGCTCCGAGATCCCCTGACAGCTCTGTTAATGCTCATTTGAGACATTATCCGTGGCGCACGACGAGGACGTGCTGCAGGGGTCTTGCGTGAGGTTCCGTAAAACCAGAACAGTGAAGGACTGGCGCCCGAGTGACGTACGGAGTATCTCCTTATACACATCATGTTGGACTTAACTTCCCCTCACGCCTGTGACATAAATCACCGCGCCACAGAAGAAGTAGTGTTGGTACACTTCTGATAACGCCCATTCTACGGACGGCGCACAATTTTGTTTATCTTCATTTGTTTTATTTACTGTCTTAGCCGTCAGTTAGTCCACGATACACATTCCTCTATCAACCCAGTCCAGGGTTGTAAAAAGGCTGAAGAACACTGGACAACACTGATTGTGAAAGTAGGAGAATATAACAATTTTCGCTGATGATATAATGTATTTTTTAATTTATATAGATAACAATTTTGCGTCCTTAGTTTGTCTTTTATTATCTTTTGGAATTTTTCATATTTTTTGTGGATTCCGTGACCGTTTGAGATTTTGTCCTTAACAATATTGCACGGAATACATTTTTGGAACATGTTTTATTTCTTTATCTCTGCTTTCCTAGAAATGTCTTTTGTTCTGAAACGGTAACATCTCCCCGCCCCCACCCAACAGTTTTCCTTCTCTTTCTTCTTCACTATCTTCTTCTCTTTTTTTTTATGGTCCCTTTTCTTCATGATCATTACCTTATTTATCATAATCACAGTCTTGCTTCATTCTTTCTTTCTTTCTTTCTTTCTTTCTTTTTTCTTTCTTTCTTTCTTTCTTTCTTTCTTTCTTTCTTTCTTTCTTTCTTTCTTTCTTTCTTTCTTTCTGTCTTTCTGTCTTTCTTTCTTTCTTTCTTTCTTTCTTTCTTTCTTTCTTTCTTTCTTTCTTTCTTTCTTTCTTTCTTTCTTTCTTTCTTTCTTTCTTTTTTTCTTTCTTTGTTTCTTTCTTTCTTTGTTTCTTTGTTTCTTTGTATCTTTCTTTCTTTCTTTCTTTCTTTCTTTCTTTCTTTCTTTCTTTCTTTCTTTCTTTCTTTCTTTCTTTCTTTCTTTCTTTCTTTCTTTCTTTCTTTCTTTCTTTCTTTCTTTCTTTCTTTCTTTCTTTCTTTCTTTCATTCATTCTTTCAATTGTCTTTCTTTCTTTCTTTCCTTCTTTCTTTCTTTTCTTGCTTTTCTTCTTTTTTTTTCTTTCTTTATACCGATCTATCTATCTATCTATCTATCTATCTATCTATCTATCTATCTATCTATCTATCTATCTATCTATCTATCTATCTATCTATCTATCTATCTATCTATCTATCTATCTATCTATCTATCTATCTATCTATCTATCTATCTATCTATCTATCTATCTATCTATCTATCTATCTATCTATCTATCTATCTATCTATCTATCTATCTATCTATCTATCTATCTATCTATCTATCTATCTATCTATCTAATCTATCTATCTATCTATCTATCTATCTATCTATCTATCTATCTATCTATCTATCTATCTATCTATCTATCTATCTATCTATCTATCTATCTATCTATCTATCTATCTATCTATCTATCTATCTATCTATCTATCTATCTATCTATCTATCTATCTATCTATCTATCTATCTATCTATCTATCTATCTATCTATCTATCTATCTATCTATCTATCTATCTATCTATCTATCTATCGATCTATCTATCGCTCTCTCTATCGCTCTCTCTATCGCTCTCTCTATCGCTCTCTCTATCGCTCTCTCTATCGCTCTCTCTATCGCTCTCTCTATCGCTCTCTCTATCGCTCTCTCTATCGCTCTCTCTATCGCTCTCTCTATCGCTCTCTCTATCGCTCTCTCTATCGCTCTCTCTATCGCTCTCTCTATCGCTCTCTCTATCGCTCTCTCTATCGCTCTCTCTATCGCTCTCTCTATCGCTCCTTCGCTCCATCGCTTTATCGCTCCATCGCTCTATCGCTCTATCGCTCTATCGCTCTATCGCTCTATCGCTCTATCTATCTATCTATCTATCTATATATCTATCTATCTATCTATCTATCTATCTATCTATCTATCTATCTATCTATCTATCTATCTATCTATCTATCTATCTATCTATCTATCTATCTATCTATCTATCTATCTATCTATCTATCTATCTATCTATCTATCTATCTATCTATCTATCTATCTATCTATCTATCTATCTATCTATCTATCTATCTATCTATCTATCTATCTATCTATCTATCTATCTATCTATCTATCTATCTATCTATCTATCTATCTATCTATCTATCTATCTATCTATCTCTCTATCGCTCTCTCTATCGCTCTCTCTATCGCTCTCTCTATCGCTCTCTCTATCGCTCTCTCTATCGCTCTCTCTATCGCTCTCTCTATCGCTCTCTCTATCGCTCTCTCTATCGCTCTCTCTATCGCTCTCTCTATCGCTCTCTCTATCGCTCTCTCTATCGCTCTCTCTATCGCTCTCTCTATCGCTCTCTCTATCGCTCTCTCTATCGCTCTCTCTATCGCTCTCTCTATCGCTCTCTCTATCGCTCTCTCTATCGCTCTCTCTATCGCTCTCTCTATCGCTCTCTCTATCGCTCCTTCGCTCCATCGCTTTATCGCTCCATCGCTCTATCGCTCTATCGCTCTATCGCTCTATCGCTCTATCGCTCTATCGCTCTATCGCTCTGTCGATCTGTCGATCTATCGATCTATCTATCTATCTATCTATCTATCTATCTATCTATCTATCTATCTATCTATCTATCTATCTATCTATCTATCTATCTATCTATCTATCTATCTATCTATCTATCTATCTATCTATCTATCTATCTATCTATCTATCTATCTATCTATCTATCTATCTATCTATCTATCTATCTATCTATCTATCTATCTATCTATCTATCTATCTATCTATCTATCTATCTATCTGTCTATCTGTCTATCTGTCTATCTGTCTATCTGTCTATCTGTCTATCTGTCTATCTGTCTATCTGTCTATCTATCTATCTATCTATCTATCTATCTATCTATCTATCTATCTATCTATCTATCTATCTATCTATCTATCTATCTATCTATCTATCTATCTATCTATCTATCTATCTATCTATCTATCTATCTATCTATCTATCTATCTATCTATCTATCTATCTATCTATCTATCTATCTATCTATCTATCTATCAGTCTGTCTGTCAGTCTGTCAGTCTGTCATTCAGTCTGTCTGTCTGTCTGTCTGTCTGTCTGTCTGTCTGTCTGTCTGTCTGTCTGTCTGTCTGTCTGTCTGTCTGTCTGTCTGTCTGTCTGTCTGTCTGTCTGTCTGTCTGTCTGTCTGTCTGTCTGTCTGTCTGTCTGTTTCCCTGCCTGTGTGCCTGCCTGCTAGCCTTTATGTCTGTCTGTATCCCTGTTTTTTTCTGTTTTTTTTATCTCTTCGTCTACTTCAGCTCTTCTGATAGTCAGTATAATTTATATTGTCATTTTCATAAAGCCAGGTTCAGAGTGCATATAAATCTAGGCTTTAGATAGTTAGGTCCTCCCTAATCTCAGTCTCTCCCTAATGAAAGATGAAGAATGTATGAAATCTACATTAACCGTGCTCTATAGACCGAGGTGCCGACACATGCAGAAAAGCACTTAGGGTCCTCAATGGGTTAAGTCTAGTTTTAATGAGCAATAATAATATTTTCTTGAATGCAAGTGAGTTGAATAACATACTTGAAATAATATAAATCATAAATAAATATCTAACAAAAGTAACTTCTATGCATGATTGGGTGAAAATTCCTAGCCCCCTTAGCACTCTTCTGTGTCGGAGCTTACTAAAACAATTTCTTTTTAAACCAAGCGTTATTTAATCCATATTAAATATTTAAACTAAAACCGCAACACTGAACAAACAAACCGACAAATTAGTAAGGAAATATTTCATTTCAAAAGCGACAGCCAGTACACTTCTAGTCCAACCAATCAAATTCTGTCGACCTTATCCCCATATAAAAGCATACCACTTACCCATGAGCCCAACAGGAAATGATTCTGGCCCATATTTCCCTGTGGGTATCGACGATCTTGTCAGAATCCATATATACTCTTTTCCTGACAGTCCTAGTTTCACAGCAGCTTCAATGATGCTGAATGATGCGCGACTGTAGAAGGAAATGGTAAAACAAACGATGGTCATTCGTGGAAGAGAAGATTGAAAAACTACCCGGGGTACTTGGACGTTGCGTGTGTCGAACAGGAAATAAAGAACGAGTGGAAATTGTAACTAGTGGATCAATACTATGTTTAATATTAGTAGCTGTAGCAATAGTAGTTTGAAGTTACGGAGGTAGAAAATCTTATAGTGGTATAGTCCCTTTCAAAAGTCGAGCCGTTAAAGGTTAAACAAATATCTCTAAAACTATTGTATGGATCAAAACGAATGTTTGCTGACGGTCTTAGATTTCCCATGTTCTTATGATTTTTTAATTTACATTTGTACAGATGCTAATGTTTTTTTAAAGCTGAGAATTTTGTTATTCTTTGTTGTGTACTCCTAAAAGAAAGAATGTATAGTAATTGACACAAATCGGTTACAGTAATTGACAAACAAGGAGATTAATTTGGAAATCATTTTATATGTCCCTTCGAGTGGGGATTATTTTGTTAGTCTATGATGCACACAGTGAAATGATGTGTTAATCTAATTCACGAGGGTTCTAGGCTAATGCAGGAGATTGACTATCTGAGAGTGAAACAACGTTTTTCGCACAGATTACTTCTAAAACTTGAGCAACTTGATGTTTTAAAAAGTGCGTGTCGCTATGTTACTGTAAGCATGCTAACTCAATGCTTTGTATCGGTGTCTGTTTTTGTTTTTTTTTCATTTTTTTTTTTTCATATACCGCAAATAAGGCACACAATATGATTACTTATATTTCAATTATTTTCATACAAGGAGACGATTATTAACAGGTTGCATGCCAAATTTCAACAATTTACCTGAACTTTTACTGAGTTAAAGATTTTTGAAGTTGGGAACGACTTTTGAAACGGACTATAGTTATGATAGTGCTACGGTATTAGTGGTTATAGTGACATTATAATATTCTAGCTGTGTGATGGTGACATTGGTTATTGCAGTTGCCCTCAATCTTCCTAATGCCGCGTCCCTTTAATACGGTTCTTTATGTTGTTGTATACTATATATATATATATATATATATATATATATATATATATATATATATATATATATATATATATATATATATATATATATATACTTATCAACATCGTGTAGTAGGTTCTTTACAGAACGTTGATTCTAACAGAATTTTTTTTCTTCAAATATTGATTGATTAACATTTAGCAAGTTTCGATTTCGTCTTGTTTCCAGAAAGAGTCCTTTGTTGCGATGTTTAGTAAGTGGTATGAGAGTTGCCCTGTTGAAATGACTGGGACCCCAACACGTAATATTCCCCAGATAGCAGAAATAAAGCAGGCCCTTTAGAGAGGCCGCTTCCATTATACTCCCTCTGGATTTATGTTGCTTAATTTCTGTGCACAACAAGAGTTTATTATTGTCTACACTCCACACGCTTCTTATTTAACAAGCATTAACGTCTTCAATTCAATTTTTACTCAAATCTGTAAAACTTCGGCAATACATCTGGGCATACACTGTTGCAAAAGAACAAAAACAAATTAAAAAAAAGTGACGAAAGATTCAAGAAGCACAACGTAAAGAAGAAAGAAGATTAAAGACAAAAGTGAGAAGAAAGAGAAGAAAAAGAAGATTGATTGATTAAAACTGATTGGGTTGAAGGACCGCACGCGTCACAGTGTGAAACCGGCCATTAGTGCCAAATCACTCCTTTAGATAACACGAGGAGGTCTCTTCTGAATACACGAACTCTGTGACATGGGGCTGTGATGTCAGGGTGAACAATAAAGGGAAAAGGGATATTTATTTTCAGTCCTGCGTATTTAGAATTCAACATTGTATCACACAGGTCACATAAAGCAGGAGAAGATAAAGAAAAGAAGAAGTTATTTAACTTCACTATACGACTGTCTGCATTGAATGATCTAGCAAAATCACCATAAAGGGTCTGCTCGACCTAAGACTCAGTTCCATCTAACTGGTCGTAAGTCGAATTGATATATTTCAACACTCAATTTTTTTCTTCACGTTTACGAGTTGTAAACTCAGGCAGAACGTTATGGTTGTTCGTCCACCTCTGGACTGTAGCCTCTGGACTTGGTTCCTCTGCTTTTAGGCAGATGCACAGACTCCGAAGGAAGCTCCTAATTAGTCGACTATTATGACATTCTAATGGGTAGGCAGTGGATCTAATCTTGTTTTCCCTACAGCAGGACCCTGGAACCCACAAAGTAACTGTTTTTATTCATTCGGACATGCCCGGCTCTCTAGCGTAGTTGGCTAAACCGGATTGCGCGTTGACCGGGTGACGAACTCCTTGTTGACCGGGTTCACTCCAGGGGGTAGGAAGAAAAGCCACATCTCTCCCAGATTTACGGTATTTACAATGGAATTAATGCCGAAAGGTTGCGATATCCATAATACCGAGCCTAAGGGTTAACAACTCATAGCTTCTGGATACTAAAACAAACAAACAGTTCATACGGACATTAACAATTATACTCTGAACATAAGACTTCAGTATATATATATGTATATATGTGCATACAATAAGAGTCTACTACACTCTATCATCAGTTCTGTGAACTTGTTGACCCTACCAGTAAAGTAAGCTTTAATTGTGTACTCTTAGCACAGGACACATTTGACTTCGCAGCCACGTGTACACACAATTTAAGATTGGCGAATCAGCCATGTGTACATGTGGATTCTGCAATGTCCCGTAAAGGATACGCAGCTAACTTAAGTAACAATCGGTTCATGGTTGCAGATTAACAATATCACTTGAATCCCACGAACATCCCACTTCTGGAAGAGCATTCACAATATTACTCTGCGCCATGGCTCGTCTGCCCCCTCAGTAGCTTTACCGGCAAGCTATCTCACTTCCTTGCACATATACTGCAGCAAGGCTCAACGCCACATAAAAGACTGGAAAGGTGGAGGTGGGGGCGAGGGTTGATGAGGACGATGTTCTGGACAGAGTGCGAATGAATAAGGAATATTGATAGACCCAAAAAAAAAAAACACACACACACACACACACACACACACACACAAACCAGACAGTTGAAATGTATCGGCCACATTAGCAGACATAGCACTCTTTTAAGAACCAAACTGGAGTGAAACGTCGACGGCAGGAGAGGAAGAGGTAGATTACGTTGCAAGTGGAAGGACAACATCATGGGGATGGACGAGCATCAAGATGAAAGACTGCACCTTTCTAATTCTTTTACAATGCATATAAATATATAATGTCTATAGTATAGGTTTTGATGTTCAGCTTTAACCGCGTCACAGATGTAACAGATAGAGATAACGGAGAGAATATCACAAAGGATTAACTGTCAGTTCCTCCATTCCCTTCTGTCTGTGGAATCATGTCAATATGTAGAATATAATTTTTTCCGGTGCCTCTAGCGACACACATCAGGTTTCGTCACAGGGTTTTTCTGGGACGTCATCGCGTCCTCTTTCAATTTACTTCGCATTTTAGTTCCTGTTTTGAGTTTCTTTGTCAATGTGGCTTCAAAATGTGCTAAATATCTGGCCATTTTATTCTCTTATAACTATTGGTGCCATCGGTAATTTAGACATTTGTTTGATGTCTTTGTTTTTCTTGAAATTATTTTCACCTGATGTTAATCATTTTCCATAGACATTTCAATTCAGTTAGGAGAAAGAGAAATTAATAGAAACATTATGTTTATAAATCTTGTTAAAAAGTTAATAACTTAATAATTCAAAGTGACAAACCTGCTACAATGAAGGAGGAATACACGAGTATCCGAACCTAGAGCCTTTCCTAACACAGAACCGACATCGTCAGAGTCTCTCACATGAAATGTTGACACAATTTTGAAGCTGTGGATAGAACATAAGAAAACCAATTAACCAGTCGTATCAGTTACCAGCGCCCTTAACAACGCTTAGATCATCATACTTCAGTTACTACAGTAATGCAGAGTTAAACTTCCATGTATACCAGGGGTGGGCTTCTGTTGGGTCTCTGGCCAAATTTAGGTCGCAGGCCATACAGAAAAAGAAAAAATCCACTATAAACATCAGATTGCCTCGTAAAATGATATTTTTATGCGATAATCTAATTTTATAACACGTCGCTATGCCTTCGGCCAGACGCACTTACCCATCGAATCACTTCTATACATTCCTAAATGGGCATATTCCCAGATAAGTAACGGTAACCATTGTTAATTTTATCAACAAAGTCCTGTCTCCTGTCAAGTTTTGTCCCTGACACATAAGTAAGTAAGTAAAGTAAGTAAAGATCCCTTTACACGCATTTTGGCGCATCGGGCATATGGGAAGAGCACCCATATTTTTACAGACCAATCGGCACTAGGTGGGTAATGTGGTCAGCATTACGCCGGTGGTCTTTGATTCCACAGGACATCCTTCCTGGTACCCAATTAAGGCTGGGTCGACCTGCGACGTCCCATACCACAATAAAAATCCACGCAGCCAGCAGTGGGTTTCGATCGCGGTACGTTGGATTACGAGTCGGACTCGCAACGCCTTAGCCACGGACGCCCCCTGACACATAAGTACACGCCATTTGGAGGTGACAGGTTCGATTCCCCGGAACAGTAACTATAGCTTTAGATTTATATGTTGTCTAGTGTGTCCTTATATATTTCTACTTCTTTCTAAGAGTGCCAATCAATATTTTGTCTGTTTGTCCATAACAAGTGTTTCACTAGCAGGATGAAATATCTGGGGGCATTTCTTTATGATAATCACTGTTTAGGTTATCACTATTTTAGATGTTGATATTTGTGTGTTATTTCATTTTACACACGAACGTCATGTTTTTGTATTTTGCTTTGTTGTGAACCTAAGGACCATATTACATAGTAATTTTAAACCAGCTTCGGGGAAGGTAAACATTTCTAAGTTTCTAAGCTAAGTTTGGACCGGGAACCATAGTTTACCCAGCGACAATGTATACCAAGTCCCTTTACCATGAATCAGTTGCAGATCCTTGACAGGTTTTCACAAACCTGTTTTGGTCTTTATTGGCTGTTGTGTAGTTTTACTAGACAATTGTGCTTTTAATCAGGGCTTCAATTAACCAGGAAGTTGCGTAGAGAGGATTACAGAATTATGGACATCATAGACAGACTAGGGCAAGAGGTTATTTAACGCCTTAGAACAGGGCACAATCAAATTGGCAGCCACACGTACACAAAATATACGATTAGCGAATTAGCCATGTGTGTGTTTGTTGTCCATCAAGATGATGATGACCACTCTTTTTCATCATGTATGAGTACGAAGATGACTGATGAGGTCGATGCGGGCCCGAAAAGTTCTTGGACAGCAAGAACAGGGAATGAGCTTTGTGCCAGGGAGGGGATCTCCTGCAATCACCTTTCTGTCCATCCTTTTCTTAAAATGTCTTGCTGTTCTGTTTGCTTCACATGTAGCCGCGCCCTTGTGTAGAGCTGCACGCCATGCATTTTGGTATTGAGAGGCAGCGTCCCAGTTGGTGTCATTCATCCCAAATGCTTTGAGTTAAGACTTCAAGGTGTCCTTAAAATTTTTTTTTTGGCCCGCCCTGGGATCGTTTCCCATTTTGCAGCTCAATATAGAAGTTTTTTTTTTTGGTGTGGGGGGGGGGGGGGGGGGGGGTGGAGCCTGTAATCAGGCATGCGTGCCACATGACTAGCGAATTTGATACTGCATCAGTAGAGTATCAGGTATCAGGTACTTTGTCTTGCCATCTGATATGCATTAGTTTTCTAAGGCAGACTGTGTGAAAGTAGTTTAACTTTCTAGCCTGGCGCTGGTATACAGTCCATGTTTCACTTGCGTACAGCAGTGTAGTTAATACAACTGCTCTGTACACATTGAGCTTTGTCTGCAGGGTTATGCCATTTCTGTTATGTGGACATGTGGACTGGCACCTGGGGAAACAGTTCACGTTATCCAAACTTGTCCCAAATACAATACATCAAATCACAACTTCTGGCCAAAAGATAACCGATGGAAGCCAAACGCTACGGGTCGCCGAGTGAATTAAAACAGACATGGTGAAATTATACAAGAGACAGCATTGCAGATATAGATAATATATTTCAAACAAACAAAAGAAGAACAATCGGGGATTTTTTGTGCCCTTCATGTACGAAGCGGTACGAATTGTCGGCCTATTTTTTTTTTGTTTTTTTGTTTTGGTAACTACCCTAGCAATACTGTAATGGCCATTTTGATACCAGTAAGATATATATTTTTTAAACTCTACACTGAATAACCCCCCCCCCCCCCCCCCCCCTCCCCATTTACACAATTGTTTATAAGGAGGAGGGAAACCTGCTTTCTTTTTGCTGTTGCTTTCATAACGCTATCTGACTAATTTTCTCAAAATAACCCCCCCCCCCCCCCCCCCCCCCCCCCCCCCCCCCCCCCCCCCCCCCACACTCCGCCACCAAAGTCAGCTACCAAATAAATTACAGCTAACTTCGCATTTCGGCTTAGCGGAGTTGTGAATGTGTATTCAGAATTCTTGGAAGCAATGAGGAACCTGTGTGTAACCAGAGGGTCTGGTCGGCTGACTACACTCAGAGGAAAGGCAAGACGGACAGATAACCAGATTGTGACCAGTACCATTAGTGCTGGAACTCTGTGCTGGCTGCTGATGATGAGAATGAAGTACGAATGGGAATTCCCTGAGTGATGTCAATTCTTGACTCAACTCAACTCAACATACAATCCGTGTGTCCCAGACGCCCATAGAAGTCTTGAAATAATCGGTCCTCGTGTTTAGCTGCTAATGCCAGTTTCTTTCCTATTATCACGAATATATATATATATATATATATATATATATATATATATATATATATATATATATATATATATATATATATATATATATATTTATATACATATATATATTTATATACATATATATATATAAAAGCAATGGATAAGCCATCTGACCATTAGATATTGTACTCAAGACACTTGTTTCGGCAATCTTGTTTATGTACTCTTTCTGGTGTCCCAACTGGCAGCGCAAACACTCTCGAGCCACACTTTAGACGCCAAACCAACAGTGACTGCTGAAACAGATGCTTCGTCATTACGTCCTGGCTCGTCCAGCCTATCATCCATCACTGACTTTACACCTGTATTTACAGCTTTTTGGCGAAGGATGGTGGAAGAGGGGTAGGGCGAGTGGGAGTCTAGGATTTTGGACAGCATGGCTAGTAAAGTTACCATGAACTGAGCCGGTCAGGATATTTTTTTTTTGCTGCCGACAAAACAATTATCTATCCCTTATGGAGGATTGAACCTGCACGAGAGCCAAGCAAACTGGTCTGCTCCTCCTATTGTTTGGTGTAGTTATTGTGTATTTGTATTTGTCATTATGTTATAAGTACACATAAGCGCAAAGCAGTTGTTTGAGACAAAGGTGTTGTGGCTTATCATAACCGTCAACTAATAACTAAAAATGTTTTTTGGCCTCTGCTAAACCACCGCTGGCTATCGTTAGGGAGCCTCTGTTGCCATTTCTTCTTCGTCTTCGTAGTCATTATCATCTTTTTCTTCTTCTCCTTTTTCTTCTTCTTCTTCTTCTTCTTCTTCTTCTTCTTCTTCTTCTTCTTCTTCTTCTTCTTCTTCTTCTTCTTCTTCTTCTTCTTCTTCTTCTTCTTCTTCTTCTTCTTCTTCTTCTTCTTCTTCTTCTTCTTCTTCTTCTTCTTTTGTCCTACTGCGTATGCCCTTAAGCGTCGCAGAGAGGAGTTGGTGTAGTTTCCTTCTTTTGCTAGTTGTGTAGCTTGTGTGGTTGTCATACTACGGTTCTGTAGTGTCTCTTTTACTCCATCCACCCATCTCTTCCCTGATCAGCCTTTTGCCTTGTAACCTGCTGTTGTCCTATGGTACGCTTTAGCTGCTAGCTGATTCTGTTCCCTTGTGATCACACTGTTAAATTCTTTGGTGTTCAATGAAATCAGCATTATGCCTACCATTGTTTATCGCCATCATCAACCATAATTTTCATAAAAAATAATCTTCTATTATTGTGTTTACCATTAAAAAAAAAAAGGTTGTGGCATATTGTTTTGTAGTTTACAACTAGGTTGTGGTATATGTTCCCACCATACTCGATGTTAACACAAACCTCTAACTAGTCACACAATAGGAAATGATTTTTTGAGTCGGTACTAGGTGCAGTCAAGGGAAGTAAAGGCAGCCGGCGTGATGCTGACCATATCACCCTGTAAGTGCCGTTTAGTCTATAAAATATTGGTGTAGCCCTACATACACAATACGCTTTATGTGGGGAAAGCATCCTTTAATTTACTTTACAATAGGAAACGCCCTGTTTTAAGGTGCAGAGGTCTATTCTTGTCGCCACAAAATGACGTATCAAAACCCTACAGGTGGAGATTGTGCCATTTGATTACGTTCAGCTAGCATTCAATGAATCTTTTTGTCTTAATTAAAACAACCATCCAGTGTTCAACTATGTTTGGTTATGTTGTCTTGTCCCTTGAATTTTCAAGACGCATTGTTCGTGTTGTATTTAGTACTCTGGTGTTACAGAGTTCGGTCAAAACGTTCTGTTGTATTTGAGGTCATCTTTTCAATTCACCCCATTGAGCTTTCTAATCACAGTCTGTGTTGTATTTTGTACTTTTAGACAATGTTTATGTGACATAGTTCTTGTTTCAGTGTCCTGACTGTCGGTGATTGTGGTAGTAGTGGGGTAAGCGTTGTGAGTTTGTGAGTGTGTGAGTGTATGTGTGTGTGTGTGTGTATGTGTGTGTGTGTGTGTGTGTGGTGAAACCCCCTCCCCCCACGGGAAGGGAGGGAGGATATATACTATTCAATTAATA